ATTTAATTAGTTTGTTTCTTAATTGTATTCTGACTCATTCTTTTTTTTTCTTTTTAATTCCTTTTCATTAGAACTCTGTACTCATTAGCTATTCATATAGTACTTACCTAATTCCTTGTTCTGCTTTTCTTAGATTGTTGTAATGAACCCAAACTTCAGATCATTTATTTGTTTTCTTCTTCCTTCCAATGAGACTATTGTTAGGTTCACATTTTTAAATCCACGACTCAGCTTCTACTATGTTTGTGGTAAAAGGTGAGAACTCCATTAGGCTTTTCATTTGTAGGGTTTTTTTCTTTTTATAAGTCTGCTGGAATTAGTAAAGGGAGGTGGCAATTTCTTTGTCCCTTTCATTTATGTTCAGTATTAAAACTGCTTATGGAAACAGTATCTGATGTTAAGCACAAATCATCATAGTGTTAAGACTTGACTATTGAACTCTGAATAAGAAGAAAACACCTTCAAGTTAGGCAAATTATTATTTAAAAGGAAGAGGGCCTTTTCCTCTTCCCCAAAAGCTATCTTATTCAAGTTTGATTTTTCTCTTCTGACAAACACAATGCATTAATCTCACTAGTAATGTTTTTGGACTCTGCTTGTGTGACCTGTCTTTATCTAAATGCCATATTTTGTTAAGATTGGTTTATTATTTGTTAGGGAATATCACTATTTACATTAAAGCATCTTCTTTTCCTCTGAAAAGTTGATTTTTGAATGCTCTCTGGGGATGAGTAAGAACCTAAGCATAGAGTCCCAAGTCAGGTCTTTGTTCCCTTGTAGCTGGTACATCTCAGAATGTTGGTGTCCTTCATATGCTTGCCTTTTTGGTTTGATCTTGGCCCTTTCCCTGTCAAGTAGATCAGATAGAATACCTTATTTCTCGTGGAACTTCTCAGACAAACAACAGGGATGTAACTTAAAAGATTAAACTTCTCTTCTCCTTTTGACCCTCTACCAATCTGTGTTATTCAAAAACCTGAAAAAATTGCTTTTATCCTAGACGCAAATCCAGATCTCCTTCCCCTAGAAGACGGTCTTCCCCTGTCAGGAGAGAGAGAAAGCGCAGTCATTCTCGATCTCCCCGTCACAGAACCAAGAGCCGGAGTCCTTCCCCTGCTCCAGAAAAGAAGGAAAAAACTCCAGAGCTCCCAGAACCTTCAGTGAAAGTAAAAGAACCTTCAGTACAAGAGGCCACATCTACAAGGCAAGTTCATTTATTTATAAACACAAATTTAGACTGTTGATAGTGTCTGCCGATATGATATCTCTGAGTTTAAAACAAATTACTAGATCAGTGTGGTGGCACATGCTTGTAATCTCAGCTACACAGGAGGCAAACACAGGAAGATCACAAATTTGAGGCCAGCCTGGACAATTCAGCTAGCGAGACCATGCTCAAAATAAAAACAAAGGCTGAGGATGTAGTGCAGTAGTAGAGCATTTTCCTGGTGTGCTTAAGCGTAAGTTCAATCCCCAGTACTGAAGAAATGTTTGCCTTTTAGATGTTGAAAATGATAAAATTGACTTGTTCAGACAAAACTGCATACATTATAAGGAAAACACCGCAGAGGTGAATACTGTGTGTTCATTGTACATTGTTTTACAATGTTTTATATACTGTAATTTGACCTTTTTTTTTTTTTTTTTGAGGGAGAGAGAAAGAGAGAATTTTAATATATTTTTTTTTTTTTTTTTTTTTTTTTTAGTTTTCAGCAGACACAACATCTTTGTTTGTATGTGGTGCTGAGGATCGAACCCGGGCCGCACGCATGCCAGGCGAGCGTGCTACCGCTTGAGCCACATCCCCAGCCCCTAATTTGACTTTTTAAAGTTTTTTTTTTTTTTTTTTTTTTTTTAGTTGTAGATGAACACAATACCTTTATTTTATTTTTATGTGGTGCTAATGATCGAACCCAGTGCCTTCCACATTCAAGGCAAGCACTCTACCACTGAGCTATAAACCTAGCCCTTGACTTCTTAATATATTGTGAATACTTGTTAGGGTTTTTTGGTTTATTTTTGTTGTTGCTGTTGTTGTTTTGGTTTTTAATTGTGGTTAGAATTGTTAGTCACTGCCTGTGATCCCAGCAACTTGGGAGGTTGAGGCAGAAGTATCAGGATCACAAGTCCATCCTCAATAATTTTGGCAAGATCCTGTCTCAGAATAAATGAAAATAGCTGGGGGTGGAGCTCAGTGGTAGAACAACCTTGGGTTCAGTCCCCAGTACCAAAAAAAAAAAGAAGAAGAAATTGTCACTTAGTGAGTTCTACTGATAAGTACATACCTTTTTGGAGCCAGAGAGAAGTCTTCGTTGATTTTTAAAACCTTGTTAAAAAAAATGTATATTATTATGTCATACTGACTTAACATCTTGTAGTAGAAGAGGAAAAAAAATAAGCTTTTATTTCCACAGTGACATCTTGAAAGTTCCCAAGCCTGAACCTATACCAGAGCCTAAAGAACCTTCTCCTGAAAAAAATTCCAAAAAAGAAAAGGAAAAGGAAAAGACTCGACCAAGATCTCGGTCACGTTCCAAATCAAGATCACGGACACGTTCTCGGTCTCCTTCTCATACTCGCCCAAGACGGCGCCATAGATCCCGATCAAGGTGAGTTGAGGTCTTAAGATCAGGACAAATTTTTTAAAAATTGATGGACTCAATACCTTTATTTTATTTTTATGTGGTGCTGGAAAATCAAACCCAGTGCTTTACACATGCTAGGCAAGCAGTTTACCACTGAACTACAACTTCAGTCCTCAGGATAGATTATTAAGTTGTATGTGCTATTTTCCTAAAGAATCATGTAAATAATATTAAAGTGGTAGAAAATATTTGTACAGATGTTGTTATTTGGATTTACACATGAACAATTTTCTGTATACCATAAAAATCTATGAATAAAAGATTGTAGCACTTGAAATTCATATTTTAAATCTGGCTTTTGGAAAAAACAGTCATGGAATTCTTTGCTCCAGATTTATTCAGTCTAATTCTGTCTGTTTCGACAGATCCTATTCGCCCAGAAGGCGGCCAAGCCCAAGAAGGCGGCCATCTCCTCGAAGAAGAACTCCACCGAGACGAATGCCTCCTCCACCAAGGCATCGAAGGAGTAGATCTCCTGTTAGGCGGTCAGTGTTGTTTTAATTTGAAAGTGTGAAATGTCTTGACACTTTAGTATAATTTTTAAGAATAATTTCAGGATAATCTTCATTAGTGAAAGAAAGATCTCATAAATGATATTATAGATGTGTTGTAAAGAGCAGTAGTGCATTTGAAGTGTAATGCTGTTTGAGCTGTAAAAAATGTCTATTTCAGTTTTGAAAAATTAAAAAAAAAGAAATCTACCCTCTTGCGGATACTTAAATTTTTATCCTTTAGGATTTTACTAAGAAATTCTATCCAAGAAAGGGAATTAGTCACCTTCCATTTGACTTAACTTATGAAAAGTAGTTGAGTACAGGGCCACTAAGCTACCTTTTACCAGTTTTTAAATAATCCATTCACTATTATGCTTTAATTTTTTAAAGTGGTTTTATTTCTCATACAGATGATGAGATAAATTGTATACAGTTCAAACAAAAATTGACTGTTCCCATAATCTTATTTCATTGATATTGGGGATTTGCTGTTTGTCTAGTCATAAAATCTAACCCTGCCAATACCAGTTTCTTTGCCCTGAATAATTCTGAAATAAGCATAAGGTAAAATTTTAGATTTAGAATGTATTACTAAAATGAGATTGTGAGTAGATATGTCCAAGTACAGGCCTAGAACAGTTTTAGCAGAGTTTTGCTGCCTTAATAAAACATCCTGCCTGTTTTTGAAAGGAACCATGATGATGACCAAACTTCAGGTTGTACATTGGACAGGTTAGGGTATTTTGTTTTTGTTTGGTTGGTGTTACGGATTGAAACCATGGCCTTGAGCATGCTAATAAGTACATGCTCTATTACTGATTGTGCTTACTAAGCCATTTACAGTCAACCTTGCATGTCTGAGTAAGGTTTCTTTCAGGGAACCAAATCAATTTGTAAATAAAGAATAACATCAAATTAAAACTCCATGAAGTTTATTTCTTCATGCAGGTTTTTTGTAGATACACACAGAAATATATGATAAGTTCTTGAGGTGTATTGAACAATTATTCTATTAAAAATAACAGAATTGATGTTACTACTTAAAGGTGAGACCAGTGGTATAAATAAATGGTCAGCCATTTCAGGCATTGCACTTTTCTAAAATTGATTATTTCTCTTTAGCAGATAAGGAATGCTGGTGCTTTCTAGTAGAACAGTAGTGGAAACAGCTATTTCTTATAATTGGAGTTTTGCAAATAGCATGTTTTGATTGTGCTTACTAAGCCATTTACAGTCAATATTTTGCAGATTGTGTAAAATTCCCTTTCAGCCAGTTTTTATCTCACACTTAAGGTAGGGTTTCTTTTTTTCAGGTTCTCAGGAATTCTTCTGCCAAAGGTGAATTCTGCAGGTACACATAATTGCACAGAACTTACCACAGATTTTGCCGCAGAATTCGAGAGGCCCTGCTTCTAAGTTTATGTAGCTAAATGAATTCCTAATCTTGCACCTTTTTTTTTTTTTTTTAAATGCAACTTAAAGGTTGCCTGACTTTGTGTTATTAAATGAAAAACACTTTGCCATCCAATTTTGTATGCAAACTCCAAAACACCAGTATCTTTCCAAAGGAAGAAAGAGGCTGGTTGGTTATTGTGTTATAGCATTGAACTTGACAAGTTTTATAATTGGAGGGACAACTTCATCAGAAGCATTTATCATTATGTTATTTCTGTTTAATCTCAGAACTAGCTGTTTCCTGTTGTAGGTTATGATTTTGTTTCTCGTTATTTTTGACTGATTTATGTACTTAGCTACATAAACTCAAAAGTTGGATAAAAGTAGCTGTATTTTTATGTAAACCATACATGCCTATAAAGGTCATTTTTTATAAATGTGTAGTTTCTGAATATAAATACTTTATTCCACAGAAGAAGGCGTTCATCAGCATCCTTGTCTGGGAGTAGCTCATCATCCTCTTCATCTCGTTCCCGGTCACCGCCAAAGAAGCCTCCCAAGAGGACATCTAGCCCCCCTCGAAAAACTCGTAGGTTATCTCCTTCAGCAAGTCCTCCTCGGAGAAGACACAGGCCATCACCTCCAGCAACTCCTCCACCAAAAACTCGTCATTCCCCAACACCCCAGCAGTCAAATCGTACAAGAAAAAGTCGTGTTTCTGTGTCTCCAGGGAGAACTTCAGGTAAAGGTAAAAATCAAACACACAAAAACATTATGTTCTCTTTTTGGCTACTCAGAGCATACTATCTGTGGTTGTCCCCTGTTCACTCTCGAAGTGTGAAGAAGTTTTTTGTTCTTACCTTTTCATGCTTTAAGTTCTTGGGTTGAAATAGAGACTTCATGTAAAAGTGGTTTGTTTTCTAGAATGCCCTCTGGCATTGAACAGTTTGAGAAATACATCACTAGCTGTGGACTGTTGGAAATGGGACAGCTAATTGAAGTATTGTCACTGATCAGGGTTCATTTTATTACTCGATGAGACTAGTTAAATTTTTCCCTAGAGATTGTTCATTTGATATCTTATTTGAGGACTTTGTATTCTTCCTTAATTCTTTATTGGCCACATTGTGCTCCCAAAGGAAGGACATGGTGTCCTTTTAAAACCTGATTTGTTTTTTTTAAATTTAGGTTCGAGGCAGGGTTCTTCTGAGTATTGTCCTTGCTTTGTTCTGCAGATTGATTTCTATGAGGAATTTATGATCTATGATCCTGCCAGGCAGGTAGAATGTTGTGTTAGTCTGAGTGAAGGTTGTGGTCTTTTTTTTTTTTTTGCACTAAATACAAAAATATAAGATCCATCTGAATTGTGCTTAGGGCTGGAATGATACAGTCAGCTTGCAAGGTGAGTAGTAGGGGAGACGGGAATATTGTAAAAGCTACTACAGTGATTGGATATTTTTTCTTTTTATTCTTTTTAGTTATACATGACAGTAGAATGTATTTTGACATACATACATGGAGTATAACTTCCCATTCTTGTTGAACATGATGTGGAGTTGTATATTTACATATAAACATAGAATATCTGTTTCATCCCACATATCAGAGAATATTCAGCTTTTGGGTTTTGGGGATTGGCTTATTTCATTCAGTGTGATAGCCTCCAGTTCCATCAATTTACTGACAAATTCCATAATTTCATTCTTCTTTACGGCTGAGTAATATTCCATTGTGTATATACCACATTTTCAGGTATTGAAGGGCACATAGTTTGGTTCCATAGCTTAGCTGTTGTGAATTGAACATCAATGAGATATTAAGGAATAATTTTCTAGGTTACCATATACTAAGATTCTGATCACTATGAAAATCTTCAGTATATGTTAGTGAACTTCGTGAGTCCAGGGTTTCTAGTAGGCTACTATGCTGGCGTATCTTGACATCACATCACCTCCCTATACTGTGCAGTATGGTGATATCTAGAGAGGCCAATTTTGCTTTGCTTTTTCTTGACTTCTGTGACAACACACGGGCATAGACTTAGCTGTCCCTGGAAGGAACCCCAGCAAATAATGGCAACCCACAAAAAGTAATGTGTAGATTATTTTCAAATTTTAAATCAAATTACTTTGGTAACACATCATTAAATACGATGTAGTTGTTAAGTATGGGAGGGGGCATAAACATACACTGTATTACTTTTTGTTCAAAATTGGGAAAATGTCAGTTTGTTCATAAACTCTGATTATCATGTCCAAATCTGTTGCTGTTGCCCTGGTCTATTTGTCTTTTCCTGTGAAGTTTTCTTTCCTTTGTCTGGAGCCAGAATGCTCTCTAGGGAAAGAATATAAATGGTCCCCACTGTTGCTTTGCAAAAGCACAACAAGTTAACAGTTTTTCCATTTACATTCAGATAGCCAAAGAGTTACTGAAAGGACTAAACAGAAGGACTAAATCCTGGTTAAAATAGAATGTCTAAGAATTATCAGTTACCTTTTTAAAGGAGTGCACAGGTGCTGTCCTCCTGTGTTTTGGCATATGCTTTTTGCAAACACGATACAATGAATACATGTATGGGAGAGAAGTCTTAGTGGAGGACAAGGAACTGGTTGTATTACTTTAGGTTCTGGAATAGTGCTTCCCAGTCCAAATAGAATGCAGACAAACCAGACACTGTGGACAGTGTTGTCAGAGGTTTCCTTATTATGTCTACTGAAGATGAGTATTGTGTTGAGCTGCTTGGAAATAATCTTTTATTTTGAATTAACATGGTTTCTATCCTCTGATGAAATTTGAGAGTTAGAAAAGACCTTAGCAGGTTCTCACGTTAAGTAACATGGTCAAGGTCAACCAACCAGGAATAGATTTAAGTTCTCATTCCCAGTTAAGTAATAAATACTTTGCCCAGCTTTCCTACGCCCAAATGCTTCTTTGATTACTGAAGGAGGGAGATGGAGGGCAAGATGAATTTATTCAGTTTCTGTATCATTCCTTCATTTCAGTCTCTGTGTGGATAATTAGAGTAGGTACACCGTTGAAATATAATGAAGTTCACGGTTGTATTTCATGTAGCAGCCATTAATCAGGGCCCTGGGTCTCTGCTGTTGATAGTGGGGGCCTGTGAAGTAGGAGGGAGGGAGGAAAATTTTTTTGAGAAAATTGGGGGTAAATTATTTGGAGTAAAATATACAGTCTCATCTGAAAGGGGTCTTAGAGAAACATTTTATAATCAATGGCATGTCACAGGTAAATTGGCATTGTCTTAACACATAAAATAATGCTTTATTCAGTGAGATAATCTTGAACAGGGTCTGTCTATAGCTGTGGAGATGGTAATTTGAGTTTATTTAAATAACCTTAGCCATATAAGTTACGCTCTGTATACACTTAATGGTTATTTTACTATTTCTGGCTACAGAGTGACTTTACAAGTGATCTTTTGGGTAAGTCTAAGAGATTAACAATTAATAGAACTGGTAAAGTAAATTTAAAATTCTGGTTTTAGAGTTGCCTCTTAGATTACTATCTTCATGCTAGAATGATTTTGCCCCTTGGATACTTATGGTAAAACATCAGTAAGATAGCCAAGAGGGTGGTATAAAAATCTAGAAAAGTAAACCTGGAACATTATCATTTATAATATTAATGATGTGTGGCTCAGTCCTACCAAAGTAGGAGTACATAATGGATTCTTGTCTGATGGTATAAATATTAATAATTTAAGATGGTTTTAGTTAGCCAGGTTATTAATGAGAGGATGAATTGGATTCCAAATGTGTTATTTCCATTGTGGGGGTGGGGGGAATGTTTAGTTTTATTATTTAGTAAGCAGGCATTTCCCAACTATCTTGCAAACATAACCACATTTTTAATGTTTCTTGGAGGAAAATGCATTCTTCCATCCAACCAACCAGTTTCAAAAACAAGTTTTGAAACCAAGTTTTCCAGGGTGGTTACTTGGGCATGTGGCTTTATGGATAACTAGATTCCTTTCATAATTGGTTTAGGAATTGAGGATTAACTGATATTTAAAAGTAGAGTCTGTGGACTGAAACACAGCCTCAAAATAGTTAAAATATTTCCTTGAATTTGTTAAAGTACAAGTTTTGATATACTTTTTCCATCCTTATTTCCTCCCATAATATATGATGACTAAAATTAGAAGCTAATCATTATTTTCCCAGTTCTGTAGTCAGTCTATATGCCTTGTATAATCATTAATAAAATTCTGGTCATTGAGAGAGGTAATTTCTTGTTTAATTACTTTAAAAAGATCAGATTACTGTTAGATCACTAGTTCTCTTAAGTACTGCCCTTTGGAGTAAGCCATTACAGAATTCTGAATATGTGTCTGAGATGTCACTGCATTCTGGGTCAAACATCCCATGGTGATTGCATTCATCACGCAAAACAGGTTAAGAATCCTGTTAATTAACAAAACAGGTTAAGAATCAAGTTAATCTGTGGTAATTTAATGATTATGTCTATATATACTACTGATTCTGGTTGTAGCGTGGATGGATATTTTTAAGCAGAGATACAAGTTGGGAATCAAAACTGATGTCCTGAAAAGAGATTCTTGGGATCATATTCTAGCTCGAGTACATTGTCTCTGTCACTGGTGAAGTTTCCTTGAGCCTCAGGTTTCCCTTATAAAATGGAGCAGAGGAGTAGAGAGGATATGATCCTAGCAACAGTGCTTAACAGTACGTATAATGCAACAAGTTTAGAAAAGGTGGTTGTCATAATTTTCCACAGTGTTCATAATAATGGCTAATTGATGGATCTCCTACTGTTTCAGATATAGAACTGGTTTTGTGTTTTCTCCTTTTATTTCTTAATTCTTTGGGAAGAATCTTTCAGTCTTGGTGTTTGGTAATTTTTGTTATTGTGAAGATTTCATGCTACATAAAAAGCCTTTAGGCTCTTGGGTGTGGCCATTTATTTCTCATTTTTAGATCCAAGTGTCTTCAGAAGAAATTTAACCAGTCTCATTTCTTAATCATTTATCATCTTTATTGCTTTTTTTGAATCCAACTATACTGGTTTTTTAAAAACTTTTATATCAATGAAGTCTCCAAAGTTGAATGTGAGTGTTAGTTGTGAGGCTCAAGTAACACATAGCATAAAGCTAGTTCTCCTTATAACAGCTCCCAGTTGTGTGGGGTTTTTTTTTGTTTGTTTGTTTGTTTTATTTTTGTTATGGGTTTCTCTTGAGAATCTCACAGTTTGGAAGAAATTATTGTAGAAATTTAAGGCTTTTCATTAAACATTTAAAAATTCCTACCACTACCTCTGATAATGACAACAAGGTCTTACAGAAATATTTTTTTAAGTTCTTAGTAAATTCTTTTTTTTTTTAAATTCATACCTATATATCTTATGTCATCTTTTGTTGAAAGCTTTTTTCCCCACTTATTTTTTATAGTGACAAAACATAAAGGTACTGAGAAAAGAGAGTCACCTTCACCAGCACCAAAGCCTAGGAAAGTAGAGTTATCTGAATCAGGTAAGTTTTGTTGGTGGTTTTTTTCCCCCCTCTGGTTGTATACAAAGTATATTCACACCAATTCATGTCTTCATACGTGTATCTTGGATAATAATGTCCATCACATTCCACTATCATTTCTAACCCCATGCCTCCTCCCACCCCTCTGCCCTATCTAGAGTTCGTCTATTCCTCCCATGCTCCCCCTCCCTACCTCACTATGAATGAGCCTCCTTATATCAGAGAAAATATTCGGCATTGGTTTTTTGGGGATTGGTTAACTTCATTTAGCATTATCTTCTCTAACTCCATCCATTTACCTGCAAATGCCATGAGTTTATTCTCTTTTATTGCTAAGTAGTATTCTACTGTGTATATATGCCACATTTTTTTGTTAGTGGGTTTTTTAAAAGATAATTTGCCCCCCTTTTTTTTTCAAATTTGGTTCTTCCCTCTGGTTGAAGGGAATGATTAATGATATAGCATATGGCTAACAGTTAACGAAAATAACATTTATAAAATGGTTAGCACCCAGCCTGACCTGTAATAAATGCTTAACTAAATTTATCTTTATTTCATATGGTACTTATATTGCTTGACACTTACTTAAAAGTTGGAGAATCTATTTTCCTATTCAGATATGTCAGACTCTCTGTATGCATAACTAAAGAAGCACTTTCTAAATGCATCCATCTTTCAGAAGAAGATAAAGGTGGCAAAATGGCTGCAGCAGATTCTGTGCAGCAGAGACGCCAATACAGACGACAGAACCAGCAGTCTTCTTCTGGTATGGCCATTGACTTAAAAATTTTTTTTTTTATCTGCGCCCCTCCCCACTTTTAAGTAAAAAAAGACTATAAACAATCATGGCTGGGTGTAGTGGCACACACCTATAATCCCAGTATCTCAGGAGGCTGAAGCAGGAGGATCTCAAGTTCAAAAGCCAGCCTCAGCAAAAGCAAGGTGCTAAGCAACTCAGTGAGACCCTGTCTCTAAATAAAATACAAAATAGGGCTGGGGATGTGGCTCAGTGGTCAAGTGCCCGAGTTCAATCCCTGATCATCCCCCCTTAACACCCCCCACCCCCCAAAAAAGAAATAATCATTAGTGTGTATTGATTATACACAAGAATTTGAGGGCTGGGGGTGTGGCTCAAGCGGTAGCTCGCTCACCTGGCATGCGCGCGGCCCGGGTTCAATCCACAGCACCACATACAAACAAAGATGTTGTGTCCACCGATAACTAAAAAATAAATATTAAAAAATTCTCTCTCTTTCTCTCTCTCTCTCCCTCTCTCTTTAAAAAAAAAAAAGAATTTGAACCACATCGAAATGTTTGGGAGCAGGGTTGTCTGTCTCGTTTTCCCTCAGGTGTACATTCTTTTAAGTTGTTATGTAAGTAACTTAATTTAAGTAACTCCCAGTAACTTAGGAGGCTGAGGCACGATGATCATAAGTTCAAAGCCATCCTCAGCAACTTATGAAGAACCTGTCTCAAACTAATAAGGGATGGGGATGTAGCTCAATGGTAAAGTTCCTCTGGTTCCATTTCCAGTACCAAAACAAAAAAAGTAATAGATTTGGCTGAGAGTATAGCTAAGTAGAGCACATGATTGTGTGCAAGGGCCGAGGTTCAATCCCTAGCACTAAATCAAAAAGTTAAAAACAATAGATCCTTTTTATAGAGTACAGTACCATATTAGATACCAGGCACTACAGTATATATCTGTAATCCCAGGTACTCAGGAGGCTGAGGCTGAAAGATTGAGAGTTCAAGCCTAGCTTGGGCAACATAGCAGAACCTTCTCTGAAAACGTAAAAAAAAATAAGATAGAAAACAGGTATAAAACTGAAGTAGTATAGTTTTTTTTCCTGATTCCCTAAATCTTCCCACCAAAACTTGTATTCAGAATGTTTTTATGCATGTGTAGGCATCTTTGGCTCAAAAAGGTGGCCTGGTATATATATAAGTCATTTTTCCATGCTAGTCTTTATAAGTCAGCTTCATTCTTTTGCTAGCTATAGTATTTTCTTTGTTTTTGTTTTTTTGTTTGTGTGTGTGTATGATACTGGCAATTAAACCCAGGGTGTTATAATTGTTGAAAAAACACTCTACTACTGAGCCACATCTCCAGTCCTTTTAAGACAAGGGTCTCCCGAAATTGCCAAGACACACCTCTAGTTACAATCCTCCTGTCTTGGCCTTCTGAGAAGTTGGGATTACAGACATATATCACCATACCCAGTGAGTTTCAGTGTTTTTTATAAGTATGTACCATAAGCTATTGAGCAGTCTGCTTATTTATTGAACATTAAGGTTTTTTCTCATAGTTTTCTTTTTTGTGTGTGTTGTACTTAAGCAGATATATCTGTAATTAGAATTGCTGGATTAAAAAATATGTATGGATGGGCTGGGGCTGGGTTTCAGCAATAGCACACTTGCCTGGCATATGTGAGGCACTGGGTTTGATTCTTCGCGCCACATGTAAATAAATTTTTAAAAAGGGCTGTTAACAACTAAAATATGTATATATTTAAAAAATATATATGGAACTGGGCATGGTAGCACACACCTGTAATCCCAGTGATTCAGGAGGCTGAGGCAGGAAGATCAAGAGTTCAAAACCACACTCAGCAACTGTGAGGCACTAAGCAACTCAGTGAGATCCTGTCTCTAAGTAAAATACCAAAAAAGAGGCTGGACATGTGGCTCAGTGGTTGAGTGCCCCTGAGTTAAATCTCTGATATAAAAAAATATATATGGGAAAAAGGTTTTTTTTAATCCCAGATGCTTTATTATTTTTAGTTTATTTAGTGTTTGTGACTGAGTCTATGCACTGTCTTTGTTTTTTGTTCATAGAATGGAAACCACACTGTCTCACAGTTGGCATTAAGTGCTTCAAGTAACAAGAACCAATTTATTGACTGGGAAATCACAACTTTTTAAAATATTTTTTTATTTATTTATATGTGGTGCTGAGGACACAGCCCAGTGCCTCACATATGCTAGGCAAGCACTCTACTACCGAGCTACATCCCCAGCCCTGTTTTGTATTTTATTCAGAGACAGGGTCTCGCTGAGTTTTTTAACGCCTCATCCTCTCAAGCCACTGGGATTACAGGCGTGCGTCACCATGCCTAGACAAGTCATGATTTCTTTTTTTTTTAAGTTATAGATGGACACAATATCTTTAGTTATCTCTTTATTTTATGTGGTGCTGAGGATCAAACCCAGGGCCTTACTCATGCAAGGCAAGTGCTCTGCCACTGAGCCACAGCCCCAGCCCAAATCATGATTTCTTAAAAGACATATTTGTATTGTTTTGATTGGATTGCATTATGAATATGACTTTCTGATTTATATAATACTTAATTGGGCTGGACTTTGAAGTATATGTTATCTAACACAGAATGTATCTATGCTTGCTTACCCTATATTCAGAAAACCTAGACAAGCTCGTTTAAGCACAGACCTAGGATAATTTTTTGTTTTATTTTGTACTGTGTAATTGTAGACTCTGGCTCCTCCTCCTCTTCAGAAGATGAGCAACCCAAGAGATCACATGTGAAGAATGGCGAGGTAGGCAGGCGGCGGAGACATTCCCCTTCTCGCAGTGCCTCTCCTTCACCACGGAAGCGCCAAAAAGAGACCTCTCCTCGGTAACAACTTTTCTTTAATGGTCTTCCCTGATGTTCTATAGCTGTGGTGAAAGTTCATAATTTAAAGAGTGGGCTATAGGATTATTTTAGAATTTGGTTCATTCCTTCATTTCAAGAACTTTGAGGAGGTGGTTGGATTTTGTTTGGGTTTTAGGTTTTTGGGTCCCCGCATCTTCATTAGTAATTACTAATATTTAATAAGAACTAGGTAAGTTTTGAGTCAGTGTATCATACATATGCATGACTAGATGAATAAGCCAGTTAAATCATAGCATTAATTCCTGAACATTTTTAAAAATATCTCCTTCAGTAGGGGTTAACTCCATCAAAGTAAATAATTTAGTGAATGGAATTCTTGACATTTTTTTTTTCTCCACTGCTCTCAGGATGCAGATGGGAAAGCGATGGCAATCGCCAGTGACTAAAAGGTTGGTTAGAAACTGCTTTGTAAATTAAGGGCACCTACCAAAAGTTTAGTGCCTTAAATTCCTATTTAGGACCATATCCTGTTCTTAGATATGTAGTGGACTGTAGAATTGTACCCGAAGTGTTCATTTTAGAGCTTCGTTTGAACTTCAATTTTGAATATCTTGTTACCATTTGGATCAACTTACATCAAGGCACGCACAGTTTGAGCAACATATAGGTATTTTCTAATAATTGGATAATACCTCCCTAGATTTAGTAGTGGAAGGGACTTTGTGGTGACTTAAAGCAAGAAAAACTTAGAAGTTAAAAGTTAACATAAGGCTTTGGCCCTATTCATTCTTTCCGTAAATACAGATTTGGGTATCCTTGTGCAAAATGCTTGGGGACCAGAGGTGTTTCTGATTTTGCAGTTTTGGGTGGACTTGCAAGTTGAGCATTTCTAATCCAAAAGTGTGAAATCCAAGACTTTTTGAGTACCAAGCAACTCAGAGTTTCAGACTTTGAAGCTGTTTGGATTTTCATATAATGGATGCTCATCCTATGTTTATTCTTGTGCTCTTTATATCTCAGACTTTGAAGATGGGTTATTTTAGGTAATCTCATTAATAAGGAGTGTTGTATTATATGGGACAAAGCAGGGTTATTCACACTGTAGAAGAAACAATTTATTGATATAAAAGCCAAAAAAGATCATTAGATATTACAGTATTTTCCCATCTACAGTGATCTGTGGATTCTGTGAAATTGCTAGCTCAATAAAGTGTTTTACAGAGTTAGGTTAGTAATAGGATTGCCCTATTTTGGAACTACTTTCTGTTCTGGAAAGACATGCCTCATAACAGGAAATTCAAAACTAATGTTATATTGCCTTGTTCTAGTTGGTGGTGGTTTTTTTTTTTTTTTTTTTTTTTTTTTGGTAGTAGTAGTAGGTAGAATACTTTTTATTTTTATGTGGTGCTGCTGAGGATCGAACCTAGTGCCCCACACATGCTAGGCAGGCACTCTGCCACTGAGCTACAGCCCCAGCCCCCTCTAGTATATTCTTATTTTGTTCTGGGTAGGGAAAAAGGTATTTTAGCTGGATATGGCTGCACACACCTGGAATCCCAGCTACTCGGGAGGTGGAGGTATTTGCATTTTTTATTTCTAGGCAAGGTCTTTAGTTGCCAAGGCTGGCCTTGAACTTGGAGTCCTCCTGCCTAAGCCTCCCATGTTGGTGGGATTACAGGTATGTAACACCACCCCTGGCTAGTAATATTACTTACCAGAGAACATTGAAGCCAGCTTAAAAGACTCTCACTTAAACTTAAAAGATTCTCATAATAAAATAAAGGGCTAGAGATAAAAATTCAGTGGTAGAGCACCCCATATTCAGTTCCCAGTGCTGCAGTCAGTCCATCTACTATCAGATGTCTAGGATTTAAAGATGGAAGAATAATTATTTGGAATTGTCCTTCAATATCATATTTTAGGAGAGGAGATATAGCGTAGTTTTGAATATTTCATGTGTAAAGTGTTAAAAATGAAGTTAGTCCCCACAAACCATAAGCAAATTTTAAATGGGAAACGAAATTTAATGAATTCAAGGATTTTTTCCTATCCAAGGAGAACCAAGACCTAGTAAACTTTAGATTCTAATTACATATTTACAGGAAACCTCAATCCTATCCTAAGCAAATAAATTAAGAACTAATTATTTGAACTATTTTGTATATGTGAACTAACCAAAAGAAGACAAATTGGCTTGGAATATATTTTAATGTCTTTTGTAAGGCAGCAAGGCTTTATTCTAATTTTTCATATGTGTTGGTTAAGTGTGCAACAGAGCTCAAAATTAAGGTTTATGTGATCCTCAACTGCATTTTAACCACATAAATCTAAAATTTTGGATCTTAACCCAGTATAGCTTTAGTAGTTGGACAGTTTTTGTCTTTGGGATAGTGCTGTTAGATAACAGTGTACAAGTGGATATGTATTCTTACAAATTAAGAACTAGGAGCAGTGATACCCGAATCTGGGTCTTAAGCCAAGTCTGTATTGGAGAGTTGTAAAGCAGTAGTTCCTAACAAGGAACCAAAATCACCTGAAGATTTTTTTCAGTAAACACCTGACTATATTTAGCCCATACCCGGTGAGCATAAATCTCACAGTTGTATTTTTCCAAATGATTATTTTTTGCATTCCAATTATAAAGGAGCACTCTGAAACAATCTTTTGCAAACGTTATTTCAACCTGTGTCATGTTAAGAATATTCTGTGTTGTAACCTAGAGCACCTCTTTTATGCCTGCAGCATATTTCACCAAACAGTATTTATCCGTACCACAAATGAAACATTGGTTTTTGAAGAGCACTGCTCTAGAACATGTATAACCAAGTGCTGTCCCTTGGGCTAATGAAAACTGAAAGTTAGGTCTTCTGGGCACTTCATTATAAATGCCACTGACTCCAAACAACTTAAATTCTTCTTTGCTTTAGTGGTAGACGGAGGAGAAGTCCCTCCCCACCACCCGCCCGAAGGCGACGCTCTCCTTCTCCCGCTCCTCCTCCTCGGCGGCGCAGATCTCCCACACCACCACCACGGCGAAGGTACTTTGTCAGATATTTGTATGAAAAGCCCAGAACTCACAATCACAGAAAATAAAACGGTGTAAGGGGTAGGGTACAACTTTATGAATAAACTGAAACCATTAAATTGTATACTTTAAATGGGTGAAATTTTACAGCATGTAAATCACACATCAATAAAGATATTAGTTTAAAGGTGGTATGAAATATTTACAAAAAGAAAATACTAACTTTAGAATATAGAATCTGAGCAGATGCCTCTTTAATCAAAGCATCCTCACTAATACATATTGGCAGTATGTGCTTTCCAAATATACCTGTAATATTATTTACCAGTTATGCCAGACCATAGTCTAATTTATTAGCAAATGTGATACAAACTCAAATTGAAGGTCAATTCTACAAAGTAAGTAACCAGCCATGGGTGGTGTCACACACCTGTGATCCCAGCAAGTTGGAAGGCTAAGGCAGGAGGATTACAAGTTCAAGGGCAGCCTTGGCAACTTACAAATAAAAAAGGCTGGGGTTGGGATGTGGCTCAAGTGGTAGCACGCTTGCCTAGCATGCATGAGGCACTGGGTTCGATTCTCGGCACCACATACAAAATTAAAAAAATAAAGATATTGTGTCCACCTAAAACTGAAAAATAAACATTTAAAAAAAGGGGGGGGCTGAGGATGTAGCTCAGTGGTAGAGTGCCCCTGGGTTCACTTTCTTGTAACACATAAACACACACCAGAGTTATGTCAGTCATGAATTACTGAGGAACCATTGTAGACTGGTTGCAACTAAGGAGATCTAGGATCCTGGAACAGAAAAAAGGATGTGTATTAGTAGTAAACATGGAGAATATTGATACTTTAGTTACTATAAAGTTAATGTTGATGTAGTACTATGGTTTGGGTAATTTTTATAGTTCCATAAGTTGTTAACATAGTAGCAGGTTTTCACTTGTTTTGTGACTCTTTAAAATCACTTAAAATAAAAATTAGAGGGGGAAAACATGGTTTATTGGTATAAAACACTAACAGGCAGTATAATGGCTGACTACCACTCTTTAGTACCTGTTATGTGCCAGGTAAAGTGTTAGATGCTTTTTATGTAGCTTACCTGTAGTCCTCAATGTAATCTTGCTTGGTAAGTGGTATTCTTTTTTAGGTGAGAAAGTGGAATAGGTCAGAATTACTATACCAAGTGCTGCTCTGTCACATTGCCCCCAAACTGGCTAATTGTAAATCTGATTTTGGATGAGAATTCCTCAGTGTTCAGTCTTACAAGTGTAATTCCCAAGAAGCACATAAGGATTGTATGGAAGTGAAGCATCAAGAGGAAGGCCAGGATGGGTGTTTGTTTACAGACATGCATGTCCACTTACAAATATATTTTCTGCCCGCTGCTGACTATAGGGTGCTAGTAACTTCTGGTTACTCTGGCCCCATGCATTTGATTTCCTGATCTGTTGGACGTTTTAGCTTATACTGGTGATGTATGTTTCTCCTAGGACTCCTTCTCCTCCCCCTCGTCGGCGCTCACCTTCCCCAAGAAGATACTCTCCTCCAATACAGAGGAGATACTCTCCTTCTCCACCTCCAAAGAGAAGAACAGCCTCTCCTCCACCTCCTCCTAAACGAAGGGCATCTCCATCTCCACCACCAAAGCGCCGGGTCTCCCATTCTCCTCCTCCCAAACAGAGGAGCTCTCCAGTCGCCAAGAGACGTTCGCCTTCTTTATCATCAAAGCATAGGAAAGGGTCTTCCCCAAGCCGCTCTACCCGGGAGGCTCGGTCGCCACAACCAAACAAAAGGCATTCTCCCTCGCCACGGCCTCGAGCTCCTCAGACATCTTCAAGTCCTCCACCTGTTCGACGAGGAACATCAGCATCACCCCAAAGAAGGCAGTCCCCATCTCCAAGTACTAGGCCCATTAGGAGAGTCTCCAGGACTCCAGAACCTAAAAAGACAAAAAAGTAAAAATATTCTGTACTTTTTGGTTAGGAATAATTAGTTGCATAGCTGTGTATATATGGAAATTCTCCCCCTAGCCCCCAAATCAAGAAGTTTTAGAAAGGAATAAGCTGTGAATATAAACTATTAAGGCATATTTTGGGTACTGGTGCTATTCACAAATCCTTTTTAATTTCAGGATAGTTTCTTACAGTATAAATTAAATGCCACAGGATTTTGTTTGGTTCTTAATATATTGGGGGTTTGAGCAGTGTGCTTCCAAAAGCAAGCTCTGAAGTGATACATAGAACATTTCTTCTGTGTGCATATAACATGGGTGAAGGCAGTCTTAACCCTAAGGAATGTGCGTTACTCATTTCCTATAGGAAGGATCGTTAATGAGGGAGGATTGTGGGGCTTGAGACCTAGATTATGTAAATTTGATGTGCTAGTAGACTCAACTAGTGCTGCAAAATGTTTGTAATCTAACCTGATTATATGTTGTTGATTATTTTCTCTTAGAAGTAGATGTTTGTTGTCGGTGCTAAGCACTTTGTTTTGTCTTCCTCATGTAGGGCTGCCTCACCAAGCCCACAGTCCATAAGAAGGGTCTCATCCTCCCGATCTGTCTCTGGATCTCCTGAACCAGCAGCTAAAAAGCCCCCAGCACCTCCATCCCCTGTCCAGTCTCAGTCACCCTCAACAAACTGGTCACCAGCGGTACCGGTCAAAAAGGCTAAAAGCCCAACACCGAGCCCATCGCCAGCCAGGGTTTGTGTCTGCCTTGTTTTGAACATCTTTTGCAAATTTTAGGTCTGGTCACTGTGAAGTAGAGAAGATATCAGTATTAAAATATTGGAGTTCAAACTCTTTCTTCTTTGTGAATCAAACCTAATCTTGGACAGATTTCTATATTAAATAAAGTCAGTGGTTAGAATTTATTGAATTGTATAAGCCAATTGGATTGTGAAGTATTTTATGTAATTGCTTTAAAACATGAAATTACAATTTATAGAGGCGGAACTGTAGCTTAATGCCCTGGAGTCAATCCCAGCACCAAAGAAAAAAAAATAGATTCAATTATAGCAGGAGCTTTTTTTTTCCCTTCATAAATTAATTTGATACACAGATAGTAAGTGACTTTTGATGAGTCAGCCTCTGATTTTGAGTTCACAATGGTGTGAAACTGCATTCAGTAGAGACTTTGAATTTTGAATGTTGATCTTTTCCTAGGTTAGTGATCAGAACAGTCATTCTATTTTTCACTTTCATATTATTCAGTAAGTTACATGAGATACTAAACAGTTGATTATAAAATAGACTTTGTATTTGGATGATTTTGCCGAGCTATAGGCCATTGTAAGTGTTCTGAGTTTACTCAAGGTATTGGCTAAGCTTAAGCCATAATGTTCAGTGGGTTAAGTGTATTAAGTGCCTTTTCAACTTCAATGCTTTCAACTTACAATGGGATCACAAAGTTTATTAGGACATAAACCCATCATAAATTGAGAAGTATCTGCAGTTAAGAGGAACAAATCATTCTTATTCTAATGATATGCAAGGTCAAATAGTGACTAGAGATAATGACATTTCACACAGATGTGTTAATAGTCTATAGCTGTGCATTTATTAAAAACCTGCTACATCTTAGGCAAGGGTTGTGGATAATTTACAGATATTTCTTATTTCTGTTTTCTTTCTGTAGTCGTATGGATCAAACCCACAGCCTCGTGGATGCTAGGCAAGTGCTCTACCACTGAGCCACATTTCTAGTCCCCTGACATTCCTATTTAATCTTCAAGTTCAGGAGCTGGAAATGAACTCAACTGTAGTTAGGCCCTGACTCGTTCTAGTCTTGGAGACCTTAAATTCTAAAGTTTGGAATCCTGGCTTAAAGTTAGTTAGGGAAAATTTGTAAGAATCAGTTACCTTCAAGGACATTCGCTGTTAGAATTTGTGAAGTTCACCTTTGCTGTAACCTTGAGGCCCCTGAAGTCTGGAGATTGTCCATTTAGGTGTTCCCTTGAGGAAATAAAATGTTCAGTGGACACAATTTTTAATTAGATTGATTATCTTGCTGTCATTTTTCTGGATTTCTAGAATTCAGATCAAGAAGGAGGTGGAAAGAAAAAGAAGAAAAAGAAGGACAAGAAACACAAAAAGGATAAGAAACACAAGAAGCACAAAAAACACAAGAAGGAAAAGGCAATGGCCGCAGCTGCTGCTGCGCCTGTGACCCCTGCAGCCATTGCCGCCGCCACAACCACGTCAGCACAGGAGGAACCCGAGGCAGCACCGGAGCCCAAGAAGGTATCTGCTGACTGTTCCGCCTTGTGGACAGATGAGAAGAAATCATTCGATTTTTTTATTTTTATTTTTATTTTTTTTTTTTAAGAAATAGCTAACTTATTTTTTCCTCTAATAATTGGCTCCCTAGCTGTTATTCATATTTTTGGTGACCTGCCAAGAATATGAACATAAATGGCTGCCCAAAAAACTTATTATTTTTTAAAATACTTTCTTTTGGGGGGCTGGGGATGTGGCTCAAGCGGTAGCACGCTCGCCTGGCATGCGTGCGGCCCGGGTTCGATCCTCAGCACCACATACAAAGATGTTGTGTCCGCCAAAAACTGAAAAGTAAATATTAAAAATCTCTCTCTCTCTCTCAAAAAAAAACAAACAAACTTTCTTTTAATTTTAAACAAAATTTATATATCATACAGCTGGCCCATTAATTAAAGTGCATAGCTCATGGTGTTTAGCATATCCAGAGTTGTGCAGCCATCATCACAATGTAATTCTTTACTCAGCATTTCTCCCTCGTGTCTCAATACTTAATAGTGTGACTTTCTGGATTTTCAGGAGACTGAAAGTGAAGCTGAAGATAACCTTGATGACTTAGAAAAGCACCTGCGAGAAAAAGCCCTGAGGTCCATGCGGAAGGCTCAAGTGTCCCCTCAGTCTTAGGTGGAAATGTTTGTTACGATGTAAATTTTATTTGGTTTGTACTCAATTCAATTTCAAAATTGCTAAAATGTGTTTGAGCTTTAGACTATAACATTTGTTGTAATAATTGCTAGGTTGAAGTTCACCATGTTTAAAAAAAAAGGGCATGGATTTACATTGCAAAAGGTGTCCACAGTGTATTAGTGACATTCTTTCATTGACAGCTGACATAAATTCATTTAGAGTGAAATATTTTAAGCCAAAAATAATCCCTTTTTTAAAAAAGGGGGTTTAAGTATTGTTGGCATTCTCATGGTTCCTCTACACTCTCCTGGCTGTTCCCACAGGTTTGTTTTTTTGTTTTTCTTTTTTTTTTCGCCCTCTCTTTTTTCTTTACTTTTTCTCATTTGGCTATTACCACCATTTAAGTTATGCTGCCAACCTTGTATGGTTTGTAAGCTTTCCCAGAAATAAGACCACTGCTGAACTACCACAAAAGTATAAATGAACATTTTAATGCCACAATCTTTCCTGTTGCCTGTGGAGCTTTTGCTGAAATGAATCAGGATTCGAGCTCTAGAATGAGACAGAAAAATGAACGCATGCTGTTCGCCAGGACACTGGGTTTATAGTAATGTTACAAGTTGATTCGGAACACTGGAATTTCATCCTACTCTGTTCTTTTTGATTTTTCTCTTTTCATCTCCCCCGCCCCTTTTGTAAAGGCAGTTAAATAGTCCCTGGAAGGATCCTTCAGTTAACCTAAAATTTTGTTTTATAAAATGTCACAGCTCCATTCATATTTTTGTCTTGTTCTTCCAATTGGTATATACAACTTTCAGAGCTCTTGTATTTGGAAGGCTGGAAGGGCCCAGACTTTGAAAATAGTGTCTTGGTTTCACTGTTTTTGTTTCTCTCTCTCTTTTTTTTTTTTTTTTAAACTAAAGCTATATAAAGCTCGTGGATTAAACAGAATAAATTTCTAAATTTAAAAATGTTTGCCGCTTCCTCTTTCTTGTCTCAGTACTGCAAGAAAATTATCTTTCTTAGAAATCTCCTTACCCTTTTAATGGGGAAGCAGTTGGGCAGGAAAAATAATGGCAATGAAACAAAGGTTTATCATCTTTATTTTAATGATTACTATAAAGACTATAAAATACAGGGTGTGGTTGGAACATAAAATGCTGGAGGGACAAGTTCACCAGGCAAGGAGAAGAATTTCAGGCAGACACATGGGTGTACCCCCTGAGACATCCTAGCTTGTTCCCTGAGTGAATGAGGTGTAGGAATGACTGGAGCATACTCTGGCCATCCACAGACATTTTTGCATTTAAAATTTAGCCGAGAAGCTAGGCACAGTAGTATACTCCTGTAATCCCAGTGACTTGGGAGGCTGAGGCAGGAGGGTCTCAAATTCACAGCCAGCCTCAGCAACTTAGTGAGGCCCTAAGCAACCCGCTCCCCCAAAATAATATTTAACAGCAAAATAATTTTGAGAAAAATTTGGAATTGGTAACAGCATAAGGTAAAAGAGCAACATGTATATTGAAAGAAGTAGGGAAATGTTGACACCAGGAACCTAGGCCAAACCTGTTGACATTTGGGTAGTTAATTTTATCATAATTTCTGACAGTTGAAGCAAAAAATGAAAAGAAAATGCCAACAATTTTTAGTTTCAGGAAAACTGGGTTTTTTTTTACCTAAAATACATGGATCGTAAATGTACCTTCACCACTGAGGAGAGATTTCTACGCTGGTTGTTTAAATGATTTGCTTGATGAAAGTCCTGTGGGCTAAAGTAGTACAGCAGCTTCATGGTGGAGGATAGAATTTTATATGTATAGGAGTTTGACCTCTTTTGAGGCTGTTGCACAGGGCTTCCTCTTAATTGTGTAATTTTCTGACTGAGGGAAGACATAAAATGCCAGTTTCTAAAATGGTGGTTGCTGACTTGCCCTTTCCACTATGAACAAACCAGTTAACACTGGAGTGTTTGCATCTTCTTCAGCCTTTCCTTCACTTATCCACTTTTTCTGATTATGCCCTAGGCTTACATTCTTCCCCTTGACAGCTCGAGTTACAGTCCCAAGCAACTTCCATTTTGCCAAATTGAGCAGTCTCAGTTGTTGTATTAGCCCCCAGCCTCTTGGTTCAGTGATGTATTAAATCTCTGTTGAGTTCTGAGAGGCAGCTCTGGCTTACAGGTTCACCTTTTTTGATGAACTAGTTGTCCTATCTCACTAGCTGCTATTTTGTCTCTAATGGATTCTTTTGAGGGGGGCAGTACTTGGGATGAAGCCAGGGCTTCACACATGGCTGGGCAAGGGCTCTACCACTGAGCTACATCCTCAGCCCCACCCAACCCTTTTTGTTTTTTTTACTTTGAGACAGGGTCTCACTAAGTTCCCCAGGCTGATCTTGCAAACTTGAAATCCTTTTGCCTCAACCTCCCAAGTAGCTGTGATTGTAGGTGTGTGCCACCATGCCTAGCTCTACTGGATCCTTTCAAATAATTTACTGTTTGTCCTTGGTGGCCTTTCTTAACTTCATCTCTAGTTCTTGATTTTTAGGAGTGTGGGGAGACTATTGGTTGGTTATTACTATACCATGGGCCAGGAGAAGGTGGCATAGAAGGGTTAGGCATGCTTTCGGCCCAAGAAGGTGGATCTCCTCTCCTTTTTGATCCCAGTGGGTAAGTTTCTTCAGAAAACCCCCAGAAGCAGTGAGCCCCAAGGTGAAGTGGACTGGGAAGGCCTGGTCACAGTTGCTCCATTCTTGCAGGCTGGGGTGCAGGGTGGAAGTGGCTATGACATACCAGACTCTCCATCTGACTCCAGGGAGGTCTGGTGGGGCAGCAAACTCAAACCGGCCTCTGCCAGGAAGCCAGTGGTGTTACACAGTGTGGCAGGATGGGAGGCTAAGCCAGGAACAGGAGCAGGGACACCCTCAGCCCCAGCCGTGAGGCACTTTGGGCCTGAACACTGCTCTGCTGAACATCTGCAGCACAAGCAGGGTGCCCTGGCTACTGGCCATAACCCACAGCATGATAGGAGACACTCCGCATAGGCTGGCCTCCTGGTAAGGCAAGGTTATGGGAGGAGATGGCATTGAAGCCAGCCTCCTAAAAAGTTCATTGGTCTTCACCAAGTTCACATTTGTCTACTTGGAAGCTTCTTTAGAAGGCCAACCATGACTGGATTTTTAAGTCCCAGATTTCTTGTGTCACCCAGCTAGTCTACAGCAACCAGGCCAGGCTCACATCAGTGTCCGCAGAGCTTCTGTCAGACTAATCCAAGACTTTGAGAGTGGAGAGAAGGTGCTGAAAGAGTTTTATAAGAGCCTGGGCATTTACAATCCCTGCTAGAGAGTTCCCTTCACTGTCCACTGGCAGAGCTGCCTGGCTCTGGGCCACTTTGGTGCTGGTGCCAGGTGAGGGCAACAGATGATCCACCAGGGCTCAGTCCTACAGCAGCTCCTCATGAACACATCTAGCAAAGATCCAGCTAGACTGTGGGGGCCCAGAGAAGGGTGTCTTTGTCCACCATCCCTTTGTGAGCACAGCTCACCATACCCTCTTGTGCTGGGCAGAGGTGCTGTTCAGCAAGCCTGTCCCCAGAGGCAGCTGAGCCGACCTATGCAAAAACATGAGTTGGAACCTATAATCTCGAAGGACTGCATCCAGGTAACCTCTTTCCCAATCCCAGCCAGGCCAAGAATTCCCAGGATCTTCTCATGAACTTGCACTTCCATTTGCCATCTTTCATTGTAGCTCTCTCCTGGAGATTCTGTCTGGCCAGACACATGGACATCCCACAGGTGAGCTCTGCAGCCCTGAGGATGTTCCCATTGGTGGTGTCTGTGACCAGGATGACCTTCCTTGTTGTAGCTTCAAGATCTGTATTATCCATGCCTATACCAGCCCTACCCACAGCCTGGAGCTTCTTAACATCAGTGGTCACCATGGTGGCCAAGTGGACAATAGGCCTTTGCAGTTCTACAGCTCCTTGTTATCTTTATACTAATGCATTAAATCTCCCAAACAAACTCCTATCCAGCTACCAACTCCATAATGCTATCTGATATCTAAAAGGCATACCAAAATTAACATGTCCAAAGCAGAGTTTATTTAGACCATCCTCCATCTCCTAATCTCATCTCCCATTTCATACCCACCACCATCATTTATTGAAAATTGAGTAATTAGTATTGTCAGGTTGGTGATACTGACCACCGCCCAATACCCATCATGCACATGTGTTCAATTCCCTACAGCTCATGGCAGATCACATGTCCATTCAAAACCCTCAAATAGGGGCTGGGGTTGTGGCTCAGCGGTAGAGCGCTTGCCTAGCACATGCAGGGCCCTGGGTTCCATCTTCAGCACCACATATGAATCAATTAAAAAAAAAAAGTACTGTGTCCAACTCTAACTAAAAAGTAAATATTTAAAAAAGCCAAGCACAGTAGTGTGCTTTTCCCAGCTACTCAGAAGGTGGAGGAGGGAGGATCGCTTGAATCCAGAAGTTCAAGACAAGCTTGGACAACACAGACTCCATCTCAAAAACAAAACTGAACAACAATAACAACAACAAAACGTCTAATAGGATTGAGCTGAATCTGCTTTGGAATTTCATTGCCACTTAATCTGCTCAAGCCTCACTAGCTGCCTTGCTATTCCTTTAATCCCAACAAAACTAATTTCTCCTTCAGGGCCTTCAAGCTGTGCCCACTGTTCCTTCATCCTGGAAGGTGCTCCATTGTCTTATGGCGAATTTCCTTATTTGTTTTTTTTCAGACACTTCTCTAATTCCCTCTCCTTCATTTCTATTATTACCACCTAAAATGATACAGTTTTGGGGTTGGGGATATAGCTCAGTTGGTAGAGTGCTTGCCTTGCATTCACAAGGCCCTGGGTTCAATCCCCAGCACCACACATACAAACACACACACACACACACACACACAAAAAAAAATGATACAGTTTTGGTCCCCAGAAACTCAGTATTGTTCATAGATAAGGCACAAATATTTGTGAACAGATGAGTCAAGGAACTTAATTGATTGTCATTGCCTCTGGACTTGCCAGACACCACTAGGGTTTGAGATAAAGCACATGAAAGGGCAAAATAACTGCTTCCCTCAAGGAACAGTCACCTTCTGAGGATAGAGGCATGCAAACCCTTTACAGATTGGACAATATAGAGTCTAGTAGGCCAGGATTTCTACTGTGTGACCTTGGGCAAGTTATTTTACCTTGAAGTGCTGCACTTTCCCTTGAACTTGGGATCTTCCTGCCTCAGCCTCCCGAGTCCCGGGGATCACAGGTGTGCACCACTGCAGCTGGCATGCTGTTTCCTTTTCTATAAAATAGAAATGGAATCACCTCAGTAGTTCATGAGGATTCATTTTTATTTACCTATTTATTTGTTTGGTACTGGGGATTGAACCCAGGACACTTTACCCTGAGTTATATCCCCAACTTTGTTTTTTTGTGTTTTTTGAGACAGGGTCTCTCTAAGTTGCCAGAGCTGGACTTTGTGGTGCTGGGGATTAGAACCCAGGGCTTTGTGCATGCAAGGCAAGCACTTTGTCAACTGAGCTATATCCCCAGCCTGCCAAGGCTGGACTTGAACTTGCAACTCTCCTGCCTCAGTCTCTCCAGTCATTGGGATTACAGGTGTGTGCACCTCTGCCTGGCTTTTTTTTTTTTTTTTTCTTTCTTTCTGTTTTTGAAGATTTAAATGTGCTGGTTAATACATAAAAAGCAAAGACACCAGGCTGGGGATCTAGCTCAGTTGGTAGAGTGCTTGCTTCACATGCACAAGGTCCTGGGTTCAATCCTCAGCACCATGGGGGGCTGGAGGGGAGGCAAGGATACCATGAAGAAGTTCCTCTTTTAACTGACATGACATTTATCCATTCCAGTAATTATAG